AGGTTTCAAGCAAGAGACCACCAAAACTGGGGTGGGGGGACTCCCACATCTCCCAGAACCACTCCTCTGCTAGCTACTATCATTGTCTTCATGCCCCTTACTCCATGCCCACCCCAAAGTGAGAATAAGCCAACACGATCCCATTTATAAAAGAGCCCATTTTGTTTTAATTGGGGTACAATACATTAGAAACCCTCCTAAGTGGTGTAAATCAGATCCAATATTGATTAGCTAAATAATTTTTTAACTTGGAAAATAATTTAACAATTGTGTATAGACACATATAAAATGTACACTTTTATGTATATGCATAAGTACATACAATATATGTACATACTAGTTATATGTATACTAGTTATATATATATACACACACACATACACGTTTATACACATACACGTTTATACATTTTGCATCTTTTCTTTTCACTTAAAACATAGGGATGGACATCCATTCACAACCTTTTTGGTGTTAAGTGCACAACACTCACACACACAGATTCCATGATGTTATTTTTAAATATAATGAAAGAGTCATCTTTCAAAGAGAACAATCTTCATTTAACAGGCAAATGTCCTACAATGTCACATTGCTCCCATCATTTGCCATTAGGGCTCTAAGAACAGGTCATTATGATGCCAGTACGTTAATTTCAGTCAAAGTTCAATTAACAATTCAGTTCTTTGATCTGTTTTTGATAATCACCCTCACAACCAAATGATGGTTAACTACACTGACTAGAAAATATTAGCATAAAGTAACCACCTTCCAAAAATCAAAGTCAAAATCTACATGTGCAAGAGAACATTTGGGTAAAGTAAACTACAAAAGAAATCAATTTGCTCTTTATAGACTTTATAGTTTTCCCCTATTCAAAATGATCCTGTATCCCTTAAGAGATGATAAAACAAACAACTGGCCTTCTAGTAAAAGGTAGCTGAAGTTTAACAGTTCACAGGTCTACAGTTGCTGATTTAGGAAACATTAAAAATTATCGTTGGTTTCAGTATTTGCTTAACTCCTACCTACAAAACTCAGAATCCATATTCTGGTCAATCATTTCCAATCTCTTGACATTAATACAACTTAAGTTACGTCAATCAGTCAACAAGTATTTAACGTTCTGCTAAATTGTTGAAATACACATAGCAATAATAATAAATCGTTTTTAGTGTTATGTGTTCTAGAAACATAGTATTTAAAAGAACCATTACATGTATAAAGACAGAAACAAAGAATATTAAGAAAATGTTCCTTGAAGGTGCTGGTAAATATTCCCCCATAAAACAGAAACATCAAAAGAATGTCTTTAAAATGCGGTTGTGGCCCAGTGGTAGAGCACTTGTCTAGCACATGTGAGGTATTGGGTTCCATTCTCATCACCACATAAAAATAAACAAATAAAATAAAGGTATTGTGTCCATCTACAGCTAAAAGAAATACTTTTTTTAAAAAAAAAAAAGAACATCTTTAAGATCATTTACCAAAAAAAAAAATAATAATAATAATTTGCCTGTGAACCACACAGATAATTTTAAAATTGCTTTTGTCTCTCAAAAAGGTTGAAGTTAATTTGTTTCTACCTGGCACTATAAGTTAAACGGCTACTGTAGTTTCTTGCATTTTTCAGTTAGGACTGCAATTAAATGAATTTATATGTGTTAAGCATGTTTACAATTATGAAACCCAGACATTGTAAATTTTTAAAAGTCAATAATAAGTTATGTTTTAAGAAAATGCAATGTTTATACAACATTTCTAAACCTCAATTCCTTTAGGGGGAAGAAAACCACATTTTCCCCATTGGGGGAAAAAACAATACATTGTTTCTAATTTCCTGAGTTTGGGGTTTTAATTCATATTTTGAGTATATTTTCAAGTGGAAATAATTTCATCTTCATGAAATTTTTCTGAAATGTTTGTAGAGAGTTTATAGGACAGTGGAACTATTCTGTATGGTACTACAATGGTGGACAGATGTCATTAGACATTTGTCAAAATCCACAGAGTGTACAACACAGAGAACTTTAAGATAAACAACAGACTTTAGGTAATAATAACGTATCAGCATTAGCTTATCAATTTGTATTAAGTATGCCCCACCAATGCACAATGTTAACAATAAGGGTCACTGCATGCAGGGGCGGGGGTTATAGGTTAACAGTGCACCCATTCATTTTTCTACAAACCAAAACTACTCAAAAATATTAAAGCCTATTATAAAAAGAATTCAAATAAACATCACAATCATTTTACCTTTGTATTGGGTTACATAAAATTCAATCTTTAAAACTAATATTCAATATAAGTCTAAGCAATTTTAGAAATTATGCCACTATTAACTTTTGATACACTATATCCTGTCAAGCACAGACATAAATATCTGCACCTTTCTCACTTCCTCCTCTTAGTATATGCAACTTTATTTCAGAGTGAGGCTTGAATATGACAGTGAACACAGGTAAAATAATGCATTCAAATGTTCATTCAAGTCACAAATCCAATCACTCAAACTGATCAAACATAGAGAAAAGGCACATGCTGCAAAGTAGCTCATTGGCCGGAAAGTTGTCACCTATTAGAGTAATCTATGAGAATCTAAAAGCTTGGTTTTTACACGTGCTTTAAATAGTAAGAAGCATTTAAAACACAAAGTGGGCATGATGGGTGACTCCATCATTAACACCTGTGCAAATCCCCCTAGACATTTGAGGCAAAAGAAAAATGCTTCAACTGAGATATTAGTGGTGGGTAATCTGGCGTTTTCAAGCCTGAGTTTCTCCCAAGTGTCACATTTACACCTGCCTGATGACCTTTACTGAATCCCTAAGGCACTTGTGTTCAGATCACCAAACTTACAAATTTCTTATTCAGAAATTACCATGAAGATCTGTCTTCATGAAAGGAGCAAAGAATGCAAAGGATCCTTGAGATAATTCAAAATACCAAACCATTAAGGAGTACCTATGGTATACCTATTATACATCTACCACAGAAATAATTTCACACTTAAAAGCATTTTAGAAGTATTGACAGTGGTGTCATAGATGTATCAATAACTCAAACAGACAGTAGAGCTCAGAAAATTGTTTCATAAAAATGAAATTGTTTCCATTAGAAAATACACCCAAAATATAAATTAAATCATAATGTCTATTCCAACAATGAAGGAAACCAAAATATCAGGAAAGGAAATTAGAGAAAAGAATAAATTCAACATATTCAAGGCAAGAGAATAAAATTTTACTATCTTAAGTCGATCACTCCTATTTCTCAAAGTCAAAAGCCAGAACTAAACAGAATTTTTAAGATACTCAGAACAAATAATACAAAACAAATGATAATTTCCATTATCCAGATTGTTTCATTTAATGCACTACCTCATTGCTTTAAGGTTTCCTCCAAAGCTATGACTGTTTTGAAAGTTTCTGTAATATTTTTGAACACTTCCTTTCTGTCTTCACATTCCCTTCACAACCCAAAAATCAATTTTAATTCACTCAGACTCCCTTATTACTTTTAAAAGATACTTTATTTCAAGATTTAATTTAGAAAATGAAGTAGAATCATTCCCCTCATGAAATTCTGTTAGTCAAGCAGCATAAATTAAGATCCCCAAAAGGACCACTGACGTGGTTCCAAATGTTGTAAAACTGATCTTTGTTATTCAATTCAAACAACTATGCTATAAACATGGATCAATCAAACAACTGTACCATGAGCATAAATTGCTAATCCCTAACTTCAGTCTCACCTCTCCTTTTGCCTCAAGTCACTTACACCTTTTTCTAACCTGTATTATTATCTCTGGATGCCAGCCCACTTCTTAATTTTTGCAGAGGAAGTAATGAAAATAATCTTTGCTGTCACTTGCTCCCTACAGAAAGATTTTTTTTTCTTTCACGGCATGCTGTCACTCTTTCCATCATAAAGTCAAATGTTGGGAGGAGTTAAATTTATATTATTTTTCATAAATGTTGTTTTGGTTTTCTTTTTCTTCTATCTAGAATGTCACATGAATGATTTGTGTTTGTCTCTAATCCCTAACATTAGCCTTCATTTCCAAATTAAAATACCAAGCTATCATTCATATATATATATATATATGAATGATAAAGCATTTAAAACATATACATATTTTATATATGTATATATATAAAACATATATATATACACATACACACACAGATATAAATTTATATCTGCTGGCTATTTAAAAAAAGAAAGAAAATAAAGAAAAAGGGAAGAGTCTCTGGTCCTCCTGTCAATCATACTTTTCCCAGGCTATTAACATTGTTCCCAGGATTAGTGCACTAATGATTTCTACACTTCAATTATCCACACAGTTCACCTGAATAATTAACCATCTGAAATCACCATATTTTACAAGTTGAGACCTGGTCATTACATGTGCAAAAGAATTCAGTAGCTACTAGGCTTTGTGTGCAAATTAAAAGCCTGGATTACTTTCTGTCAAAACTTACTGGATTCTGATCCAATGTTGTATTATAGTTGGTCATTTTTTTAGAAAGTAATCATATTTTAGTATATTAAGAATACATTATTTATGGGGGATAGGGTTGTGGTTCAGTGGTAGAGTGCTCACCTAGCATGCATGAAGCACTGAGTTTGATTCTCAGCACCACATAAATGTAAAATAAAGATATTGTGTCCACCTAAAACTAAAAAGTAAGTACTAAAAAAAATGCATTACTTCTGTAAAACTACTTTACTTTTACTATACTGCATTTAAACAGGTAACACCGTGGTTAGAATTGTTTAGCAACACATTTCTTTCAAGTCAAAGCCTATGAAAATAGAACCAAGTAGGTAATGCATAGCTTAATTCTAAGCCAGAGCTTGAGTGTTGAAATCAGTTTTGAGTACAAGGAAATGCTGGCATTTAAAAGATTGAAGTTCCAGACTAGCAACTTTAATAAAGACAACAAACTTTATATCAAACATGGAAAACACAAACTTTCAAAACTTGAGGGTCTTACCAGAAATGGACTCCAGCAAATGCAGGAGACACACATTATAGCCAGGAGCTGGATGACCATTTCAAAATGATGAGACCTGCCTTGTCTGTGCTGTTGACTTTTAAATTTAACTCTCAAAAGTGTAATTCCTGTAATGGCATTGCACAAGAAGGAAACACCAAGGGCCAAGAGCCCCAGAAAAGAAAAAAGTAGAAGATAAAATCTATCTTCCCAGTCTTCGATGTGTTCAGTATTGTAGAAACACCAAGTCCTTGATGCTTGAATTTTATAGTCTCGATGCCCAAGAATAGGCAGCAAAGCTATAAAAACAGCGAACAAGCACACGCCGCTCAACATCATTTTCACATGTTTGGATGTAATTTTTGTAGAATGAAATATTGGTTTGGTGACTCCGATACACCTCTCAATCGCCATCACACTGCCTAGAAAAAGTGGGCACAAACCAGAGAATACCATGGAGATACCAAAAACACTGCAAAGAACATTTGATTGATCAAAGCGGATCCAGTCTTTATCAGATGCATACACAAATACTGCTATAGTTCCATTGATGAGATGACCAAAGAAGTCTGTGATTACCAGGCCACTGGCCAAAAGCAGAAATGATGCCTTGGACTTCTGTCTAAACCTCTGATATGCCTTCATGAGAATGGCAATGGCAAGGCTGTTTGACAAGATTCCCACTGTCATGAAGATTATTGAAAAAAACACTGAAAGCCGGTTTTCTGTCTGGCAGGTTGTATTTGAAAGGAGCCCAGCTGCAGGAGACACTAGTTGTTCGGAATTGTTCATGGACATTGTTGTGGAGATAACAGCTGGCTCCTCAAGTCATCTCTCTCTCAAAACTGTGCTGGTTTGCAGTCCAGACATCTGTAGCATAAGAGAGAGAGAGAGAAAGAGAGATTATAAATACCAAATTGCTGATCATCTAACCCTTAAAACCAAAGTACCCCAGCACCCTGTGGTGGGATTGGATTTGTCTGACCTATCATAAGCAAGATTGCATCATACTGAAAGTAGCATCCATCTGTTCCTTTTTTCTTTTCAAGATTAAAAAAAAAAAAGCCAAAATTGAGAGCTCTTGGTTAAATATCCACCTGAGGCTTCACTAACACCTTAAAATTTTAAAGGTGTGCAAAATACTAACAAGAGTAGATTTAAAGCCAATAATTTTTTAAAGCATAACAATCTATTTAAATCATTTTTATATTCCTGCTCCTTTCTCTGAAGGACTTTGTCCCCAAACTGCAGATTATCACCCAGGTGAACCACCTTGTTTGTCAGGCAGACATAGCAATCTTCTCTAAAGTTTGGGAGGGGGACCAACAAGCTCATGTTAAATGGAGCACATAACACCAAACTACACACACATTGACTCTTGGAAGTCTGAGCGGTGAATCTCTGGGAAGGTTTTTCTGATCTGGTTACCACCTGTGCAGAAATCCTGGTTCCTGATGATGAAAGGGAAGGTCTGTGTTTGCTCTAGGCACAGCTGCCTAACTGCAGTTAAGTTACAGCTTCAGAGGAGCAACATCCAATGCGTATTGTTTCTTTGTTGCTCTTCCCCAAGGGGTTGAGTCCTGAGTCACAGACACCAGATACACACTACCACAACCACCCTGCCTGGAGTTGATTCCATCGGCGTTTCCCAAATTGCTTTCCGGGAGGCTGGGAATTAGGAGGCCAGCCTTTCCTGGGACCGAAACAGCCCCAGTGGAGCCGGTTGGGTTACCCGGAGGGCAGCTGCCTCCTCTAGATCTTACTCACAGTTCTACTTTCCCCGGTCTCTAACCCCGCAGCCCCCAGGCTTTTGCTTGCAACATCTTCCCTAAACCTACCAAGTTGCTGAAACTTTCTGCAGTTGCTCAAACGCCAGAAGATTGTTTTCCCTTCTACCCTGGGGGGCGCCAAAGGCTTACCAAACTTCTGAGCCAGCCCGGGTGAGGATAAGAACTGTCGCCCGCAAGGAACCACAGGGAGAGAAGGGGATCTTCCTCTTTCCCTAGTTCCCTCCTCTGAGACCCTTTCTACCTGGTCCCCATCCGCCCAGCTCACAATCGGACCGGTCAGTCCGAATACCCTTCTTTCTTAGTCTCCGCAGTTTGGGGAATCTGGTCCAAACTTGTTGCCAAAAGCAGTCTAAGGCGCCTTCCAGCGCAGCCGGCTGCATCTATCTCCCGGCGTCTTAGGGAGAGGGTGGGTTAAACCCAGGGCGGATTGAACATCCAGAGGCAGATGCGTGGGAAAGATGGTTACCTCGGGTTTCTGGGCGGCCAGCAGGGCTATCGCGGGAGCCCCAGAGCGCTTAGCTCGGTGCGCCATGGTGAGTTCAGCCTCTCTCAGCCGCCGCCGCAGGTTCCAGGAGCACAGCGCGGCGCTCCTGCTCCAGCACCCGCTTGAGTCCCGCCGCTTGTACCCTCTGCAAGGTCAATCCTCTCACCCAGAGATTTGCTGGGCTGCGCTCAGCCCCTCTGATCCCGCAGCACCTAGCGACGCTTGAAGCCAGGGCAGGATGGAAGGCGCGGGTGACCTCCGCCCCTTCTTCTGTCTCTTCTCCGCCCCCTTTTCCACCGAAGAGGGACAGGGAGAGACTAGGGCAGCGCGCTCAGATGCTAAGGCCACCCCATCTGCAGCAGAGCTGCCCTGTCGGCCGCTGGACTAGCTACAAAAAGTTTTATTTTAAACTCATTTTCAAAATAAAAGGGTCATTTTTGAGGATTCAAGAGAAGAATCTGGAGAGCTGAGGGAAGTCTAGAGGTCTGTCGGGCTGTCAGATGCAGCTTGAAGAGGAACTCCTTCCAAATCCAGCCCGAAAAGGTTAAAGAGAGCGGTTAGAAAGAGACTGCGTGTTTGCGGGAGAATATTGTATTAGATCTCCCCGGGGCAGTGAAAAACAGGTATTCCAGTCACGTGTTGTAAATGAAGACACAACCCTAGAGTGTACCCCAGTCAGAGTACTGGACGTTTTTCCTGCTGTCTAAGGAATGAGAAGGGAAATGGGTGAGTGACCTTCAGTGATTATTAAAACCCACTGGTGAGAGAATTCCTAGTGATACGTATACCCCCCCCCCCAAAAAAAAGATGTGCATCTAACAAATTTTGTGGAGGTCAGTTTATAATAAATATTCATATTTCATTAACAATGATTATTTCTTTTGATTATATTACATTGTCTATATCTATTAACTGTCTCATTTTTTTTCCAGCTCAATGCTTAGGTGAATCTATGAGACTTTTGTTCTTTTTACTTTAGTAAAATGTCGCCACCACCTATGTGAAAAACCGGTGCCACATGGGAATAAATGCCATGGCTCTATTCTGGAATCAGAAGGAGCCTCTGAATTCCTGGAAATTGGAAAGGATCATAAAATGCAAAAGTGAGGTCAAATAAGTTAGCCATTAACTGTAGGAAAAAAAAATGGCTGCAGTTTTCCCCTGTGGTAAATATTGAGATTTTTTAAATTGATATAATCATAACTTGTAAAATAAACTGTTACTTAGACATGGCCAAAGAAGTGAATGTTTTGGTTAATTAAATATTCTGGTTAGTAGAGAAATATTATACCCAGATGGCCAGCACCCAAAGAACAACTGGGTAATAAGCCACACTGAAAATGTGAGCGACACAGAACACAGCTCTTTCCTTTAATAACATTTCATCACAGTTCATTGCAATTATTGTTTTGCTTATGTCTCTTCCACTGAAATGAATTCCTACAGGGGTCTCATTCATCTGTCTATCCTCACTTAGGATAAGGTGTGATCACTCAACAAATGTTGTTTAAATTAATAAATCCTACCAGTAAGCATTTCTGGGATTGTAGTCCTGCATCTTGAAACTCTCAAGCTTTCACTGGAGCACCCAACAACAGCTGCTTTAGCTACTGCATTAAAAAAGAAAAAAAAAACAATCTTATTAACTCAATGACAAATTAACATTAAGCTAGGTGCAGTGGTGCACACCTATAATCCCAGTGGCTCAGGAGGCTGAGGCAGGAAGATCATGAGTTCAAAGCCAACCTCAGCATAGCAAGGCAATAAGCAACTCAGGGAGACCTTGACTCTAAATAAAATAGAAAATAGGGAAGGGAAAATAGGCTCAGTGGTTGAGTGCTCCTGAGTTCAATCCTTATTACAAAAAAAATCATAACATGAATTATATATTTAAAATAATATTACTTTCTTTTTCAAAGTACTGCATAAATCACATTATATTTTAAAATCTACTTTGCATATGTTATTGGAATTCCTATTTTAGAATCCACTCTCTAATCAAGACATATTTCATCTGAGTATTAACAAAAGATCCTAAGCACCTACATGTCTTCTCCTTAAGACAGAAGGCATTACTATTAGTAGAGCAAGTTCCTAATCTGTAAGGAAGAATAAACAATTCACTATCTTCAAAGAAATACAGAGAGAGAGAGAAAGAGAGACAGACAGACAGACAGACAGACAGACAGAGGTGTGTGTGTGTGTGTGTGTGTGTCTGGGCTTATGCAACCCAAATCTGATCCTCTAATCATTGTCCCCAAAGATGGGACCTTGAGAACTGGTGAATCATCATCACATGAGGACAAATAACAAACTAAAAATCCATGGGAGGAGAGGCTCCTGAAAAGCAGTATAATTTTATTACTATTTCTGAGAAGTGGCACTCTATTAAAACTAATCATTTCTGTATCCATTCAACAAGTTCACTGAGAACTTAGCTTTGTGTCAGAACTATTTCCTAGGCAGCAGAGGTAACTTCTGTGTGAACAGAGACCACAGCCCCTGCCCTGGCTTCTAGGCTAAGAGAACATATTTACTTTTGTGGCGTGCATGCTTAAAACCTTGATATAATTTTAGGTACCCAGGATTACCTTTGCACTAAATGGAGGCAAAACTGATGCCAGCCTTTGTACAAGGCGATAATTTATGACAGGTGTGTGCTTGACAATCGTGGTTCATGGTTAAATGTAGGACACTTTGCTCAGAAGTTGTGCATGCTATAAGTCAGAGAATAGAGATTCCGTGACATTGAAGTTGAAATAAAACTCCATAAAAAGCAAGGGGAGTGCTGGAAATTGGTTTTTGTAGTTTTAATAAAACTGTCTAGAAAAGCTTTATTGGAATTTGCCATCAAGATTAATAGTGGAAACATGCCCAGTTTAGTAGTAATGAAAATAACAACTTTTGTCTTTTTATTTTTGTTTGTAACTATTTGATACATAAAATTTTTTTTATGGAACACATTTGCAAGTAGTTAATTATAAAAAAATAAAATGAACCTATGACCCTAATACTCAATTAAGTAAGAGCTATATTGTTTCCTAGAGCTGCTGTAGAAAAGTACCACAAACTGGGTAGCTGAAACAAAAGAAACTTATTTTCTTACAAATTTGGAAGCTAGAAGTCCAAAAACAAGATGTCAGCAAGGTTGGTTCCTTCTGAGAGCCATGGGGGAGAATCTGCTTTAGGCCATTTGCTTATTTCTGGTGATTAACTGGCAACCTGGGTCTTCCTTGCTTCTAGATGCATCACCCCAATTTCAACCTTCATTTTCACGTGCTATTCTCTCTGTAGAACCATTTTCATATGTCCATGTTCTTTGTAAAGACCTCAGTCCGTTTGTATTAGGAGCCCATCCTACTCCAATATTGCCTGATCTTAACTAATTACATCTGCAATGATCCTATTTACACAGAAGGCAACATTCTGAGATAGTGGGGGTTAGAACTTCAACATATCTTTTTTGAAGAAGACAGTTTAACCCATAACAAAGACTATGATAGAATATTGATAATGTTATATCTATCTATATGATTCTCCCTCTTTTCCACTTCTCTGTGTCCCTCCCCTAGCTAACCACTGTCCCAAATTTTTGTCATCATTCTCTTGTGGTTTTATGTAGTTTAATCATATAAAGAGATGAGCAACTGTATTGTTTAATTTTCCTTGTTTTGTAATGTAACCTTCTGCAACTTGCTTTTTCAGGCAAGACTTTTTTAAAGTTATGCATATTGATATATGCAGTAACAAATTATCCTTATATAAAGTTATGTAACATCTCAACATTTGGATACTCAAATTTTTGAAATATTATCTTTCCATAGCCATTGGGTTTATTTTCTCCAATTTTATGAAATATCCTAATATGAATAGTCTTGCACACATCACCTTGAATAGGACTTTCTCTTGGATATGTACCTAACGTGAAATTACTGAGTCATGAGGGATGAGAATGTCTATTTGAGTTCGCCTTCATCCACATTCATGAAAAGCTTTGCTTTTGTCTAGCTTTTAATTTTAACCAGATGGTTGCAAAATAACATCCCATTGTGGACTTAAACTACATTTCCCTTTGTATTCATGTTTCTTCTCCTATGAGATGTCTGTTCATCTCTTTTGTCTAATTTTTATTGGGTTTTATTATTATTGATTATTCTTTGTTCTATATTCTAACCTTCTAAAAGTTACATGTTTTGCAAATGTCTTTGTCTAAATCAGCTTGCCTTTTTGTTTTCTTTTTGCTTTTTTTAACAAGTCAATTTTAATGCAACCAATTTAGATATTTTAAATAACATCTCTTGTATTTTAGCCTTTTTAGTGCTGCATTTTGAAAATGCTTCCATACCCTAAAGTATAAAGATGTTCTACTACATATTTTCTAAATATTTTATCATTTTTTTTCATTTACATTTAATCCTTAAACCTTCAAAAAATGTTTTTTGAATATGCTGTGAGGTTTTTTTCCTCCAAATGGATAACTAATTTTTGTGGTGCTATTATAAAATAATCCCTCTATTATGATTCTAATTTTGTCCTCAAACATGTATATGTCAAACTGCTAATACCCAGTACCTCAGTAGCAAAGACAGAATCCTTAGAGGTAATCAAGTTAATATGAGGTTGTTATGTGGGTCCTAATCCAAAATTGGTATCCTTACAAAAAGAAGATATTTGGAGGTAGATTATGCAAAAAGGGAAAACAAAAAGTGAACAAGAATGTGGCCATCTAGAAACCGAGAGGTCTGGAACACATCCTTCTCTCACAGTCCACAGAAGGAACTAAACTGCCAACCCCTTAATTTCAGACTTCTAGAATCTGGACTGTAAGACTATAAATTTCTGTTGTTGCATCCACCCTTCTGGGACACTTTATTATTATAGCCCTGGCAAACTTACATACCCTGCCTTCCCCCACTAATCTAGAACACATAACTTTCATGTATGAAATTCCCATATGTACATGGAAAATCACCATTTGTTGACTGTATACCCAACAATAAAACTACACTATATGCTTTAAATATTTAATCCTCTATAAAATTATATGAAGTCCAAGTGGACATCATCCCTTACTCAAATTGTAGCAACAACCCCTCCCCGCAAAAGTGTCCAATCTACTTGACTCCAATTTGATGTTCTTATGCAGTCCAATCATTCTTTACTTTAGCAGGCACTAAATTAGATTGAACCCATTCATACTCAAGCTCTTCCACTTATAACCAGTTCTGTAACCTTAGAAAATTATACTAAGCCTCTTTATGCCTTGATTTCCTGATTTTATCAATACAAAAATAGTAATAATAATAATAATAATGATAATATCCACTACATAAACTAATTATGAGAATTCATTGAATTAAATAGTTTGAAGATTATTCAGAGCTCCATATGTGGCAGATAATATCGTATATTTTTAAAATGCAAGTGTGATTACATTGGCCCTCAAATTACTGCTCTGAAATGGCTTCCTGTTTCTCATTATTTCCCCCAGGTAGATTCTTAGGAGCTTCAGTTTATAATACATATAGATGCAGATATAGATATTTAACATTAGTTAAATTTGGTGGATGCTGTTAAACAAATTTTTAAAC